GAACGATAATCAATAATCGAAGATAGCCATTTGATTGTTCATGGTATTGGCAGTCTAATGGCGTTTACGGCTTGTCTGTATGTCTATTCTGTGATTTTATATGATTTTTTGAACATATGCCGTTTTTGGTCGAAATCTCAGAAATCATGACGTCACTAAAATCTCGATATATCAAAAATTTTCCGACCGATTTTTTTGAAAGTTTGGCACAATAAACTTCAATCAATTCCCTGCAGGTACCCAAAATTTGGCGCGCCTGCGGCGCGCCGTTTTTATACTATGGCCCGGCGAAAAAAGTGGGGGCGTTTAACGCCCCCCCCCCCCAGCAACTCGCGGGTTAAGTCATCTAGCAGTTTTTTTTTGCTTGATGTGAAATTTCCTAGGTCAGGTGGATGTTAGGCTAGGTCGGCTTAGGTTAGGCCAAGTCCCATATTTTTTAATCCATCTCTAGAGTTCGTTCACTTAGAGAATCATCATTTCCAGATTTTGACTGGCGCATCCCGGTAAGAATGGATAATAAATAGGTCTGATGTTGAATGATGTTTATGTGGTGTTGGTGTCTGTTTTTAATAGACTCAATGGCAAGCGGCAAGACAGTGCTCTGATCTCAGAGAGTGGTATGCGGCACAGCTTTTAACCTGTCCTCCGCCTACTACATAGAAGTGCATCAACTTTCTGAATACTTTCTCACATTGAATTACTATATGCTCGCTGATTTACTTACGCAATACAGGAAATCTTCCTGTATCATTTTTGAACCTTCATACGACCTGTTACATCCCCAACTCTGAAGATAGTATTTTATTCAACCTTATCACTAGGCCAGTTTAAACCAACCTACTTAATACGCATGTGGGAATATGATGTTAGACACGATCAAATGGTTTCTTCCGGTCGATGGTAACCGATTGTCTCTTATAATGTCACTCTTCCTGGAACGGCTAGCGAAGCTGGTTGAGGGCGTGATGCAACGCTTAGGTACCAGCGTTTAGGTGGGCCAGCGATTACAGCGAACATTTTCGTTATCTGAGAAACCATCCGTCCTCGGCCTGGTCCAGTAGGTAGATCGAGGACGGAAAATCACTTTATGTAAGCTGTCTACCTGATTGGTGCCCTTGAACTGTAAGGAGGTTGCACTTCCAAGCCGCCTGGCCGCACGGCCTCCTTCGGCTCCGTACGATGTGATCGGCAGGGATGGCCAGTGAACGGGCCTGCCACAATGAATCTGTGACAGAGATCAGCTCCACTCACTGTGACCTACTACTTCAATCGACAGTCTCCTAGCTCCAGATGAGAGATCTTCGCGTGTTTCCGGGCGAATTCTCTACCGAGCTTCGTTATCCCCGTCTTTGATACGGCCTCTATTCCGTTGATTCCGTTGATTGTTCCGTTGATTGCGGTAGTGTAATGCATCCTTACGATCGCTGCCTCTGTACCTCGTCTTCTCGCTTCATCCTTTGGTCTTGTCACCATCTATCGCTTCATCCTTTGGTCTTGTCACCATCTATCGCTTCATCCTTTGGCCTTGTGACAATCTATTCCTTCATCCTTTGGCCCTGTCACCACTGAGATAAGACACCACAACCTCCGCTGTGAAAATATAGCAGAGCGCATCGGAAACGATTGTGCGCCCAGCAAGCCTGAAAGTCTGTCGCAGACTGTCGGTATAGGTGACATCAGGGCTGGCGAGCCGGGGGGTCGCCGGCTCACACGCTGACGCCAAGACACCGCTCCAGTCGCGTCGTGGGCGGTCGCGCGCATTGTTTCTCGGCTGCTGGACCCCCCAGGATCGGTCAGTCACAGTCACAGTCCGTGTCACAGGCGACACGTCACGGGTCACAGTGACCGTCCCGAGCCACGCACTTCGAGTCAGCGAGACTTGGGATGAGTGAGTCGGATTGTCCTCCGTCCAGGAACGCTGGCGACGGGAAAGACACGGGCCCCTCAGCAACCTGTGGGCGCGGTCATGTGCTCATGTGTGCATATGATATTTATTATTTGATGAGATGGCATCTATGGACGGCGCTACCTTTCATTTTAACTTCTATCGTACGAGGTAATCTCTACGTCAAGCACTGTTCTTTTGTCCGCCTCGGCCGAGCTGCGGCGGCTTTGTTGTGACCTACCTGCACGGCCTTCTGTATGGGCCAGTCTCGGGAACCGTCGGTCGCTCCCCGTCGGGCCCGGCTCAGGAAACTCTCACGGCGGCTTCCTCTCGAGTGACCTCAGCCGGTCACCGTCGTGGCGCCGAGTAAATATTCCTCGGCCGGCCACCGCTACTATAATTACTATGAGCAGGAAGGCTGGCGGTTGATAACGGCACCCCGCTGCAGTCATAGACAGCGTTACCAGTACGGCTGAGGCCACGGTGACACAATGCGGCCGGGGGAACTATGTCAGGAGTCCTTAGACACGACCTTTGTGACTATTTTTAGCTGCGTTCTGTTGACGGTGATGATGATTTTCGTCAGAGGAAGGCGACGTGAAATGTGGACGATCGTAGTCATGATCGTTGTCAGCTCTGTGGTCAGTGGTCATGAGACAAAGATGTATGACTTACGAGACTTTAAAACGCCCAGGGTCAGTTGTCTCTCATGAAAGATATCTCACATCTGCACTTTGTTGACTATTTTGTTGACAATGGTAGCGATTCGCATCGGGAGGGGAACCTTCCGGCCACCGGACGAAGGAAATTTGGTGGCCCGCCTTCTCTCCTTTGCCGGCATAGGTGGCGAGCAGGTGACCCCAGCAACTTATTTCGGCAGTGCCGAATATGATTGGCGCCTATGTCAAATGCTACAATGGACAGAAAAGCCGATACCTGAGTAGCGGCCTACCCGCTCGATCTGAGATTCGGCGCCCGCCATGGGAAAACTACTGAAGGCGATGCTGCGATAGCGCTACTATTTTACAATGAAATCTCGAATAAATCTTGAATGGCTTCTAGTTTCCCTATTAACAATGATCAAAAATAGTATCTTCTATCTGTTTTGTGATATCGTTTGTTAGCTTCGCAAGTCTCACACAAGCTAAACAAATTAAACGAAAACGCATAACCGGGTAAAAGTGAGCACACAATAGTGGTCGACTTTGTGAAATCAGCAATCATGTTTTGGTCGGTTCGTGGGTTTATCGTTGCACCGATAATGCCCACCCTGAGAACGTTGCGGCTTATGTGAACCTACACCAGTTCGTTTTGCGGTGTTCACGTCACGGTAGCTCCGAGTTACAAAACTCACCGATCGCTACCTCAAGCGGCGGGCGTTTCCGAACTGTGGAGGGTTCAACTTCACAACAAATCACGGGTCGACGCGGCCGGCCGCGGCTACACCGCTGATCCCGGCTTTTGACCACTACCGTAGGGCGTAGTCGGCTCGAGCAAGACACGCGAACCGACTGCGGCTGCGGGCGGACAGACCTGCGGCTTTGATCATGCTCGCAGCACGTGGAAGTGTCAGTGGCTCGACTCTCTGTTCTTAAAACTTGGGGGCATTGATAACGTGTTCGAAGCTGTTATGTTATGTAATGGTCAACTGGTCAGGTGGGAAATGCGTAACATGTGCATGATTGATAATAAGGCCTCGAATAACTTGTTCGGTTCACCCACAAACTTATTTCTTGCAACCTTTGCACGCCTCGGCACGCGGGTTTTAAGACATGGAGAAATGCGAGTAGTCCGTTGCAGGCGCATTCTGCAAGAGCCATGTCGTCATAGATTTTAAGAATGATTCGAACTAGCTCCCATTGATACGTGTATGTATTCAGCATAATTCAGTTTGAATGGAAATTTCAGTGGTATTTATCACTCCACGCTAGGCTTCTTTCACGGTTTGCCAAACCGTAATTAGACGCGAATCTTGGCGCAGGTTTATTATCACGGTTAGTCAGATATTTCAGAGTGGTTAGTTTAACCTCGAGAGACTCGAGCAGGTCAACAAATAGCACACCGGATGTTAGAATGGGTCTGGCAACTGAATTGAGCCTCCACTCGGATAAAGTTCGATGACGCCTCGCCCGGCTTTATGCATCATTCTGCTCTGGTGCCCTGTTGAGATCATTATACCACCTAATTGACAGTCGTGATGTCAGACGTAGTCAACAGCGTGACACTTAGCTCTGAACTTTCCTTCACACGTTGATTGAATTGGTCAGAGCGGCCAGCGGGTTGTCCATCTATTTAGGGAGGGACTTGTCAGATCTAATACACTCGGCTAGTCGTGGTACCGTATCATGGAACACGGGATGTTCGATACTGGAACGTTCATCATAACGTCATCATTAGGCATCCACTATGATCATCAGAAGATCGCGGACTGGCGGGTTAGGGCAGATGACTGACCAGCTTGTCCACTAGTTCAACCTCTATCCGCATCGGACGATGGCCCGCCGATACCAGTCACACAATGAATCAATCCACCGTGATCTGGTCATGGTTCGGTGGTCGAACGCTGCCCCTCTGAGTCTTGATAACGTCTCTGGCTCCACCCAATGCAGCCAAGCGTGGCCGCTGATTAGAACGAAACCGCCTGAACAATACCAGCTAAGCTCTGTTAACGCGCCTGGCCTGATGACGTCACGATCGGTGCTGTTTCACCACCACGCGCTACCGACCGCCCACTCGCCCCATGCTGTCTGAGTGCCAAATTGCGTCGTTTTGCCATGCGCCTGCTTCTAGCCGGGACCCGCTCAGGTGGCATAACCCCCAGTAACGACCGGTAGTGACGTCACAGAGTCTGGTCTCGTTGCGTCGCATTTGTCCCTCCCCCATCAGTCAGCCAGAGATTGGTATCTCATACGGAATCGGGCCATGGCTAAATCGGCACGCACGTATGGCTGACGTAACATCGGCACTTTGTGAGTCGTTTTAGTGCCGAGTCCAGACTCTGTGTAAGCTGCGTGAAGCTTACTTAAAACCATGGCGTTTTTTGTGACTGTGTCGTGATGGCTTCCGCTGGTGTTCTGTCAGTCTTTTGATGTGTGACGTCACGCTTCTTTGACAGATGCGGCGGCGGTGCAGCTGACGATTGGCCGGCCCGGTCGTCTCCGCCGTATGACGTCATTTTGACGTCATGGGTTCCGAGCGGGCCGGCTGGGCACCAACGATGCGGTGAGTACCTGCTTGCCGCTGTTATCAGTGCTTTCCCTTTCTCGCTGTGAAAGTTCTAGTGTTTTGTCATACCCACTTTTTGGTTTTGTTCAAAAATATCTGGAACGTTAACGAAATGTCACTACATCACAACAACCACAGTCCCCACTGCTCTTCTGTCCCAGAATGTGGGCTGTGATGTCTTTGTGCTTGTGATGTGCCACTTTTAGCGTCCCAAGTCCCATTTCGTCATCCGTGGTCTTTGTGATGATAAAAACTAGCCACTCCAGTAGGGGTGCATAGTGGGCGAAGTGCCAGCGGGGGAGTCTCCCGACTCCCCGTCCGTCTCCCCACCTCCCCTGCTCCCCTTTAGCTCCATGGGGACCACAGCCCACACGAGCTCAAACGGAAATGCCGGCTATGCGGGGCTCCCTCCGCCGCTGGGTCAAATTCTGGGAAACGCCCTCAGTGGCCCGATGTTTCGTCCCACTTCGCCGAGACTGTAGTAATTCTAGGTTCTTCTGGCTAATGGGATCTCACGTTGTATAAGGGATGTGGATAAGAGGGGAATTATCTCAGAAATCTTGTGACATAATGGTTAAAGTAGTAAATTGATTCTACGAACAGCGAATCAGGTACACAAATCAGGCATCTGGCGATCAGAAGTTCCTTGATCTAGGATTCCTGAAGAGCTTTAGCAGATCATTGTTCTACGTTGTCTATCACCCACATCACTTATCGCCCTAGTTTAAAAGTGTCTCCGTGGGAGTTGGCGGGTATGTCGGATTTTGTCTGTCTCGTCCCATGTGTGGGTGTGACTGGGTGACTGGATTTGTATCGAAGTGCAGGGAGGTTCGTGCGCTGCTCGCACAGACGACTGTCCCAGAATTTCGGTCAGCCCACGCCTGCCGGCCCCCCAATCCAGGGTCAGCCGGCCACGCTTCTGAGAACGACCGGGTGGTCCGATCCGATGGTTTTTGTTTGTTTCTGCGAGCTACGAGAACGAGCTGCTGAGAGTATTACTGGGTAATTAGAGGGACTTTTTGCCATTTTTTTATGACTGTGTTACATGTGTCTGGGATTGCTGAGCAAGCATCAGATCATTTTGTTTCGGATGGACATGAGGTATGTGCAGTTTACATTATACGATAACAGTAAGAAGCGTGGGCAGCGTTTCAATGTTTTATATTCGACGTGCACGAATATCTGCAACACAAAAGGACAAAACATTGGTCAGGAACATGTCGCTCATCCCCTGTGAAATGCGAATCGGTCGACTTCGAGGAAAAGTAAACTAGGTGACCTGTTACCGACTGTTGTTACTAACGTGTTTTTTAATTTGGTTGCTAACCAGTTCGGTATTGTTCGATGATAACGTGGCACTTAACTCACACTCTAGGCCCATAAAATGCACTAAACACTATAGCCGGTTACACGGGTGTTTCTCAGGCAGCTTTCGCGACAGATATGCTGTTTAATCCAGTTGGATCGATTTACATTTAAGTTTGTTATGCTAGATGAAACATTTTATAGTAGTTGGTCGATGTGACAATGACGTGTAGAAAATGATATATGTATACATATGTATGTAGCCTTCACATTCCATCTAATGGAACATATCAAGCATCTATCATCATACAGCTTCACAAACCAAAGGGGTCTAGTCCACACATCGTTTCTGATTTACTTGATATCAGTAACTTGTTAGACGAAACATCATTAGGCAGCTGGCAGTCAACTTTTTGCTGTGCTGTGTCTGCGATAACATTTTGATGTAGCCCGTCCACTGTCATTTACCAGGGCATTTACGAGCTGACACCAGCACAGGTTCTGCTTCTCCCCTATTTGTTTGCTGTCAGCTGGTTATCAGTAGTGTGGCGCCAATTAACGAATCGGCTACACCTCGTGGTTACCGGACGGGTTCGAAAAAGGTTAAAAGAGGACGTTGCCAGTCCAGTCCCGGCGGTGCTCCTGGCTGCTGGGTGCTGGCTACTGACTGCTGACCACTGACTGCTGACCACTGACTGCTGACCACTGGCTGCTGACCACTGGCTGCTGACTGCTGACTGCCTGCTGCTGGGTGCACCACTCTCCGGCCTGCTGATTTCTCGCTGAGCCCCGAGCAGGGCCACGCCGCCCTGCCGCGGTCCGAGTGCAGAGCTGTCACCATAGCTCAGGCTGTCTCTCTCGACAGCAGGAGGACGTGCAGCCAGGGGAGTGCCGGGCGGCGCCGGTGGCGGTCCGCTCCGTCCAGCCCGCTGCGGACTCCCTCCCCTGCCGCCAGCCGCCCCGGCCGGCTATCCAGCGTTCATCAGCCAACACCTGCGGAATCCGCGCGTAGGCCGCAGCGCCCCAATGGCTCCATCAGATCCACCCGTTTTGGGCCGGCCAGCGGCCACTGCCCGGCCATTTCAGCTCGGCGTCATTGTCCGACTGACACGCTGCTCACCCTTCGCGGCCTATCTGATACACCGGCAGTTTTGGTGAGCCGCCGGCCCATGTGGTAATGAATTGGCCGTGGCACGTGCGACACGCACGATACGGTGCCCGGGGGTGGTTTAGTGGGCTGTCCATCTCTCCCAGCTGCTCAGAGGGCGGCGCTGACTGTCCCACACTAACGGGTGTCCGGGCGGAGCCCAGAAGGACTGGCCATGTGGGCTGGTTGCTTGTGTCTCCATTCATACTGGAATGCGGTGATTTATATCGCCTGCTCAACAGAGGAGCGCTGGGTGAGCGGCGCCCGCCCCTGAGATCAGGGGCGGGGTGCGTTCGGTAAGACCGACACTGAAACCTCCGCTCCCGCCAGGCCTAAGCTGCACTTCACGGCAGCCGCGGCGTAATCGCTTCACAGGTGCAAAGAGCTGTCACGACGGCCTAAAATGCGGGCGGATTTGCATGGATTTCAACACGGATGCATGTATTCGACGGCTGTCGGTTTTCCTTATTTGTGGTGCAAATGTATGTTATGCTTTATATGCACACGAGCTCGGTCGTAAGTATGGATTGGATAGGTCGCTTCACTGATAGTGAATAGTGGGAAGTTTGAATAGCTAATCAAGTTAGCACGCTGACGAGTGGTTGAGCACACAGAATAGCTCGTTGGCAGCTGGAGACTGATCTTTTACAGCCCGAACAAGGTAAGTGCCTCGGGATAAATTGCTATCAAACCGGCATGACCTACGAAGGCCTGGACAGAAATAGCGGCACGTTTCACGCTCACCTTGTAAAATAATTTACACACTGCCTAAACAGTCTACACTATAGACAGACGCACTGTATGGGTGCCGCTGCATCTGGGTTGAGCAAGCACTTGAAGCATCACACGGCAGCTGCCTTAGCCCCGACCCGTTTGCAGTGTGTGTGTGTGTGTTTGTTTTAACATGGGTGCAGTGTGCGGACATAGAGGCGCCGAACTTGTTACCGGTACACCGGTTCACCGTGACGTGGCTATTTTGAAATTGACTTGGGTGTTGACAGGCACAAATGCTGACGGAGAGTAAGTGCTGGGCAGGATAGTCTTTGCGTAGCATGCAGTGCACGAGTTGACATTTGTTAAAATCTACTCGTATTGACAAATTTTCGTGCTCGTTGGTGAATATCATTTATGCAGTGGTGAGTAGCAAAGCGGTGTCGTCAGGGAGAGCTCCGTTCGATATTAGTCCTCATCTGGTCTGACCCATCCACCGTCGTCGTACTGTTCCGTGACACTGGACGTAGCAGGCAGTTCTCACACTTGGATGGGACTACATGCAGTACTATCGACAGCTCCACTCTCTACAGTCAAACGAGCGTCGGCTACTCGTACGACCAATTTAGCCCCGGAGCCGCCTATTCATGGAGTTCCGGCTGGGCAGCGCGTGGTACTTCGTCGGGTGTCGTCGCTGTGTGTGACGTGCCGACGGAGTTGTTCCACACTACGGATCTCCTTCGCGGCGTCCGCCTCACCCTTGTTTGGAATCATTCTACCGAACGAACGGACCGGGTGAGGAACGGCCTCACCCTTGTTCGGACTCATTCTACCGAGCACCTACCGGATGAGGAACGGACGAAGAACGAATGTCGGACAAATGCCGGACGAATGTCCAACAGGTGCCAGGCAAGCCAGGCAGCTATCACTGCCTGTCGTCCGCGTTCCAGAGGCCTGTTACAGCTGGCGGGGCTCATCGGTAGCCCTCCGGCGGACAGTCGGACGAAAACGCAGGGTCATGGTCAGCGGATGTTTCTGGATCGTTCCTCGTCGGCTGACCCGTACCGGACGTCACACGGCCGCGTCGGCGCCGATGCGTCGTCGGTGGGGCCGTGCCGGCGCCGCGTCGAATGAACCGTGCCGGATGCTGGATCGCCCCAGCCGGCGCCGCGTCGGTCAGATCAAGCCGGCGCCGCGTCGATTGGGCTACACCGGATACTGGGCCGCCCCGCCTGCGTTGCGTTGGCTGGTTTCGGCGATTGTCTACAGAGTAGCTAGAAACGGTACATTCTCGGGGTCGTGTGTAGGATCGGGCAAGCCTGGAAGTTTCCCTTGTGTGTTGTGAGGTGGTTCTTCCCAGTCTCGCCTCCGTGAGTGACAGCAGTCCAAACACATTTCCTTCAGCCGTGAACGGACGGAGGGACGGACGGGCGGGGCGCCGGCCCGGAACTGCACCCCTTCAGGAGCAGCAGCCGGGCCGCCCTGGCCTTGTGGCCGGACCGGAGCCCCCTCCAGCTGCGATGCGGTAGGGAAAGGGAGAAAATAAACGGATAAAATAAACAGAGCTGCAGCTGAGGAAAGGTCAGCGGCTGACCGGGCCCCGGACGGCAGCTGGCTGTCAGATCCTGTTTATTCCCACCTCCGGATTCTAGGATCCGGACGTCCGGCCCAATCAATGGCAGAGGCTGCAGTTACATGGGAACTTCGATGGTGTAACCTTCACTCTGTGCCTGTGTTCCGTTCTCAGAACTACAGCACGACTCTGTCTGCTATTTTTAGGGGGACAAGGGCCAATTTGTCGACCCACCTTGCGTGAGTTACCGGCCAGACAGTG